CAAATCTCAATCATTTTTAATTAGCTCATGAGTTAAAGGTTTCAACCAGGAACTAACGAAAAAAGTTCAGGTGCAATGCGGATAACAACTGTGGCCAAAATGTGGGAGTCTTGAGGTTTAAATTAACTCATGATGTTTGAGCTTATTTCTTGAGGTATAAGATTGATTCTTTAGGTCTGAACTCAATCCTTGAGGATTGAGGTTAACTTTTGAGATGTTTTTAAACGTTTCCCATGTTTATTAGGCCGCAGGCTTTTTGCCGATTCATAACATCGCTGAACATTGACAGCTTGCTGCGGTATCGAACTCGCAACTCACTGCTCCACTTCTGCGGTGCTTAGTCAACCACACGGCCTCCTTGTCAATTCTCACCAGAAATAGTCGCTCAGCGCTGGGATCGAAGCAGCACCTCTCTTCTCAAATCTTGCTACTTCGAACTGTAACCACTGGGCCACTCTGAGGTTTTAGCTTATGACACAAGGTTCAAGGTTATCTCTTCAGGTTTGTGCATAAGTCTTGAGATTCAAGGTTAATTCTCGAGTTTAAGTCGTGAAGCTTAAAATTAGCGTTTCTAAAGTAAAATAAAGAAAAATACATCAAACTAAAAAATCGTGAATTAAACACGATAGAAATATCACTTAAAATGAAATATGAATGTTCGCAAAATATTTCCACTATCCATATTTACATTTTCGCATCACATCCAGAAGTGAATCACATCCACATATCTCCGCGCTGGCTTGCATGGCACACAAATATTCCTACATTAACCTTTCGCAGTTTCCCTTTGCTAAAATCAAAACTAAAATGTCAATAGAGTATTTCCAAATACAATATTACGCCGTACTATGTTATATTAATAATACTTGTAGAGTTCTATCCTTAACAAAATTAATGTGCATCATAATTTCCAATAGAGGCGTCTGCTAGGAAAAATTCTGAAAACGGCCTAAGATTTTGACCAGTGGTTCACTTAAGATAGGCCCATGCAGGTATCGCAGAACCTCGGATACAATGTACAAAACAGCAGCCCAACCTCTCTTTTCAGTGCAATGAGAAATTAAGTTTCACCTAAATAGTAATATAAAGAAAACGCATACAAGATATTGAATTTATTCAATCGGAATTGTTGGTCATTAGAGCTGAAGTTCCCATATAAGCACATAGTGCGCATATATATATATATATAGTTAACAGCTTCTGAACAAAAAAAGGAAAAGGCCCGAGCTGCTGCAAGGCATAATTCTTTTGAATTGGGAGCACGAGCTTCACCTGGCCTGCGCAAGCTAGCCAGGTAACACAAAGAAAATGACGTGTTAGGCTTAGTGCCGCCCATCCTGTCAAAATACCAGCTGATCTGAATGAAATGATAACACTAAACTATATAATAAAAAGTTAGAACGAACTGTATAAAAGGGTCCAAAAATTCATTAAAGAATTAAAAATACGGACCTAAAGGCTGTGCTCTAAAAACGAATGGCCATCATAAAATGAAGGGTTTTACTAAATTGGTTGACTATAGAATATAAATTCAGGTGGAAGACTAGGAGGATTTTATTATTTGGGTTGAGAATATTGAAGTAGAGACAATTATTTCCGCAGTGGAAAGTGGACGAAACTATGAACTGTCATAACATCATGAGCGTCAGTGTAGAGACAACTAACCTGCACACCGTGTTCCTCCCCTGAACTCTCGACGAGATCCGTCTTACGTGAAAAGATGAGCTATTTCCATCGCCCCCCTGATCGTGTCACACCTCAAGGCAGCCACCCTAGACGAAACTCGCGCTGGAAGTTTCACTCCACAGCGGAGACGAGGCGGTCGAACAAAAGTGACGTCATTGGCGGACGTTAAGAATTTGACTGGTGGGCCGTCGCGGGACAACGAATGAATCTTGGTTACTTAAATAAAATGAGGCGCGTCATCAACTGGAGAGTAATGGCAGCCAATCGAATGTGAAGGCGGCCTAAATCTTCACATTCAAATTAGAAGACACAAGGAAGGTTGCCAACACAGAATTACAAGAAAAGTCGGGAATTGTAAGTGGCCAAATTAAAGAGAACTAGTCGAGCTCAATTATTAACCTCCGGTTCCCGATCAAAATTATCTTATAAAATGCAAGAATTTTCTACGTTTAGAGACCTATATCATTCAGCTCCTACTCGGTTCAAATATCTTAGTATATGATATGTCTGAGGATATCGATCGTTATCTGTTTTCGCAATTAAACCTTGCATGAGACATCTCATATTTTATTATTTATTGATTTAATGCTCAAGCCTTTGTTCGGTATTATAATATATTTATAAACCTAAAAACAAATCAGATTTACTATAAGAAATCAACTGAAATCTCAGAGAGATGTTTTGAGTGTGTCCAGATTTTCGAGTGTGGGCGGGAATCATGAGACAGACCCACACACTCGAAACACAGAAGAGGACTGGAGACAATCAAAAGTTCTGGTGCTAATCGTTTGGCATCTAATTAAAAGATAACGAAGATAACAATGCTGTTGATTAACAAAATTTCATGCACGTAATGATAAATACCTACAGTATCACATACATATGATTCTGTATTTCTTTACAGTAAAATTTACTGTCTGTTGATTTAGGTCAGGTGATCAGTCTCACTCTGAACTAGCATTTAATTAGTCGAATTCCTCTTCAAAAAAGGCATGGAAACAATGTAATTTCAGGAGAATTTTTGCGCTTAAAACCCCATGGGATTTAACATTTATGTAGCATAACTATGCATCCTACTCACTGTTACCGTTAAATAGTTATACATACAATGACATTATAACTAAAACTAATCAATCAGAACAACTACACAACTATAACTTATTAATAATTTAAAATAGTGTGCGAAAACAACAGCTTTACAATCAAGCCAGCGGAAATAATTTGAAATTAAATACAAATCTCAATAATTTTTAATTAGCTCAAGAGTTAAGGGTTTCAACCAGGAACTAACGAAAAGAGTTCATGTGCAATGCGGATAACAACTGTGGTCAAAATGTGGGAGTCTTGAGGTTTAAGATTAACCCATGAGGTTTGAGCTTATTTCTTGAGGTATAAGATTGATTCTTTAGGTTTGAACTCAATCATTGAGGGTTAACCTTGAGGTTAACTCTTGAGATGTTTTTAAATGTTTCCTATGTTTATTAGGCCGTAGGCATTTCGCCGATTCATAACATCGCTGAACATTGATAGCTTGCTGCGGTATCGAACTCGCAACTCACTGCTCCACTTCTGCTGTGCTTAATCAACCACACGGCCTCTTCGTCGATTCTCACCAGAAATAGTCGCTCAGCGCTGGGATCGAAGCAGCCTCTCTTCTCCAATCTTGCTACTCCGAACTGTAACCACTGGGCCACTCTGAGGTTTTAGCTTATGACACAAGGTTCAAGGTTATCTCTTCAGGTTTGTGCATAAGTCTTGAGATTCAAGGTTAATTCTCGAGTTTAAGTCGTGAAGCTTAAAATTAGCGTTTCTAAAGTAAAATAAAGAAAAATACATCAAACTAAAAAATCGTGAATTAAACACGATAGAAATATCACTTAAAATGAAATATGAATGTTCGCAAAATATTTCCACTATCCATATTTACATTTTCGCATCACATCCAGAAGTGAATCACATCCACATATCTCCGCGCTGGCTTGCATGGCACACAAATATTCCTACATTAACCTTTCGCAGTTTCCCTTTGCTAAAATCAAAACTAAAATGTCAATAGAGTATTTCCAAATACAATATTACGCCGTACTATGTTATATTAATAATACTTGTAGAGTTCTATCCTCAATAAAATTAATGTGCATCATAATTTCCAAGACGAGATCCGTCTTACGTGAAAAGACGAGCTAATGCCATCGTCCTCTGATCGTGGCACACCTCAAGGCAGCCACCCTAGACGAAACTCGCGCTGGAAGTTTCACTCCACAGCGGAGACGAGGCGGTCGAACAAAAGTGACGTCATTGGCGGACGTTAAGAATTTGACTGGTGGGCCGTCGCGGGACAACGAATGAATCTTGGTTACTTAAATAAAATGAGGCGCGTCATCAACTGGAGAGTAATGGCAGCCAATCAATTGTGAAGGCGGCCTAAATATTCAAATTCAAATTAGAAGTCACAAGGAAGGTTGCCAACACAGAATTACAAGAAAAGTCGGGAATTGTAAGTGGCCAAATCAAAGAGAACTAGTCGAGCCCATTATTGACCTCCGATTCGCGATCAAAATTATCTTATAAAATGCAAGAATTTTCTACGTTTAGAGACCTATATCATTCAGCTCCTACTCGGTTCAAATATCTTAGTATATGATATGTCTGAGGATATCGATCGTTATCTGTTTTCGCAATTAAACCTTGCATGAGACATCTCATATTTTATTATATATTGATTTAATGCTCAAGTCTTTGTTCGGTATTATAATATATTTATAAACCTAAAAACAAATCAGATTTACTATAAGAAATCAACTGAAATCTCAGAGAGATGTTCACAAAGCCACCGTCCAGACTTTCGAGTGTGGGCGTGAATCATGAGACAGGCCCACACACTCGAAAACAGAAGAGGACTGGAGACAATCAAAAGTTCTGGTGCTAGTCGTTTGGCATATAATTAAAAGATAACGAAGATAACAATGCTGTTGATTAACAAAATTTCATGCACGTAATGATAAATACCTACAGTATCACATACATATGATTCTGTATTTCTTTACAGTAAAATTTACTGTCTGTTGATTTAGGTCAGGTGATCAGTCTCACTCTGAACTAGCATTTAATTAGTCGAATTCCTCTTCAAAAAAGGCATGGAAACAATGTAATTTCAGGAGAATTTTTGCGCTTAAAACCCCATGGGATTTAACATTTATGTAGCATAACTATGCATCCTACTCACTGTTACCGTTAAATAGTTATACATACAATGACATTATAACTAAAACTAATCAATCAGAACAACTACACAACTATAACTTATTAATAATTTAAAATAGTGTGCGTCGACGTTCGCGTTTCTTCTTCCAGAGTTTTTCACAGCCCGCGATGAAGGCAGCCAAGCCCAAGCCCAGCGCCAGCAAGAGGAAGGCGGACGTCATCTGCTTGACTGTCATCGCAGACACTCCAGAGTCAAGGCAGTCAGGCTTCCGTTTCTCCCACCGCCGTTTGATGCGCCGTAGAACCCCAGTGTTGATGGTTGTTAACAAGCTGTGCAACATTGCAAAGTGAGAAATAAGTGGAAATCGGAAGTATAATATGACCGGAGTATCTCTAATTTTATCTCTAATTTATTATTATTTATTTTTTTTATCTCTAATTTATGACCGGAGTATCTCTAACTACATTTACTGCATTTTCCGAAGCACATATTCCCCATACGTTGTGCGAAATTTGGCTAATCGCTTCACCACTATGACATTGAGAACTTACGTCTAATGGTTTCCGATACATTTAAAATTTGATGCGGTAAGCAAAGTCTGCTGAAGATATCTTAATTTGTGAGTGTGAGGCGTATTCTGACCGATTTTGATGTCAACAAATATAAAATAAATTGAATTTGATGTTGGTGTACATGAATTAAACACAAAACAGCTGACTTCATCAATTTTTTATCTTTTCTCAAACTTACGCTCTATTGAACAGAGTCGCAAGAGGTGATCCTTTTTTTACAGCGAACCCTGCAGGAAATGTGAAGAAACGTTTCGGCAGCATGGAGTAGTCGCATGGATCGATGTCATGTCCGTAAAACTCAGATTCAATAATCATGAACACAAATCCATTTTCTCGAGCCTGGAAATTAAGGAATGCAACTGTTAATCTTCGCAACTTCATGATCAATAGTGGTTATCATCGACTTAGTTCAGTTGATGGATGAAGTATATGAAAATTTTTTTTATTATAATATCTACCTACTATATAGCTTTGTTAGATCAAAATGCATGCTAAATTATTATGTAAGGAGATCCTTACCCATTTTAGTCCCTCTTCTGCAGTCAACAGTAGGCCACGTGGCTTTACAAGTTCATTCCAAACTCGCTGCACCGTTGCATCCTTACTGTCCTGTGAAAAAATTAAGTTTTCAGAGCATAAAAACAGTATTATCCTAATCAAGCTTGTAAGTGTTTTAAGTTGGAACAAATATTGTTCAATAAATTCACAATTATCGGCGTAGACGGAAATTGTACTTGTTTTTAATTTTTGAGTACTACGATCTTTTAAGAAGCTTTCATTGAAATGAGCAGCTAATTAAGGACGACGTTTAGCTACGAGTCGAGATAAATTGGCGGCCTAATTAATGAGTTCAACCGCTAAATGTTTGAAAATTATTTTAATGAGGCAAATTGGCTGATAGATGCAAAAATTGGCATATTACCCGCTCGCATACTGATTGTTCGTTTTTATCTTTTAAACAAAATTAAAATGTTAATGAAAACTCACAATTGCGCATACAAAACTACGAAACTTACAACAATAAAACTTTCACACTAACTTGAGTTTAGTTAATCATCAGTTTTTAAATCCTGCTTCTACGTGTACGAGCGTCCGAGCTACTCTGATCGAAATTTTTTAATGATCCCTTGATTGATTTGATTATTTGCTGGTAAAATATGGTTTACAAGTTCAACGCCTGCAAGCGGCTGGAGAGTCTAGCCCAATTATGTTTAAACGAGAATTTCGATGGAAACTATTGTCCTTATCACCGATGCTGTAAATTCTTGAGGTTATTTCCATACCATGTGCTAACAATCAATTTCAAGTGAGATGAAAAATTGTAAGAATTGTCTGAAATCACTTCTGATGTTTCAAGCCTCATTTAAGGGAGAGAGTGATGGAAATGATTCTATTGACTTGCGATATAATCAAACGTGTTTGCAAATGTGAATTTTGTGTATCTGATACTTCCTAAATGTAGCAAATCTACCCTCAACACAATGATATCTACTAGAGCTTTTCATTTGAGCGATTAGTCTCAAACCATTATTTACCCAAAACTAAGTTTTGTCTTATAATCAAACGATGTTTCCAGCTGAGCTTTCCCTTCGCTCAGGTATTCCTTCAAATTTAGTTGTCTTCTACAAATCGGCATATAGTTCAACTGAATCAGTTCAACTGAAAATCAGTCAATCAGTTCAACTGAAAATTTTCAGCCGTTTTCTTGTGTAGCCATATTAAATGTTGAATAATTTAAAAATGTACTCATAAACGTTAATGCATTGAAATTGAAATTTTATGTGTTTTATACAAACCGCTATGCTCTTGACTTATTTCAAAAATTATTCACTGATAATCCATAAATTTTGTAGCAATAGATAGATTGATTTTCCCGCTCAAAGCATATATACGAGTAAGTTCATCCTTCAATGCACAAAAGTGAACGAAGTACCATGGTTTTACTCGGATGATTTGTTTTCAGTGTGCAGCACATAAAAGTGAAATCATCCGTTACTAAGAAGTAATAATGAAAGAATTTAAGTAGATTCTATAATTTTTAGCTAAATTTTTCTCGTCATTTCATTAAATTATTTGTTGAGGCATACCGTGGTTTACTGAAAATAAAAAAATATTGCCCAACATATATCAGTTAACCTTCCCGCACATTGAATCAATGACTTTTCATCATCATTTCCAAACATCAAAAACTGGATCAAATTTCTTGATTATACTCGCAGCTTTCATTTAATGAAGTACGAAACAGCTGTTCTGTTACACAACGCTTTCAGCATCGTACCTGAGAAGCGAAGGAAGCGAAGCAACCTTTGAAATTTTTACCGTGGATACTATTAATCAAACCAAACTAAAATTTTCCTCTGGTGTCTGCATCTCACTTTCAGGCCTTTGGTGCGAAAATGAATGTATTTTCTAATTAAAAAGTTTCGAGAGAAGCCACAAGCATTTGAATATCTTACAAAAAAATTAAAAATGGTTTAAAAGTAGATTTGCTTTCATGCGATGAAAATTGTCCACAAGAGTTCATACGTTATCAAAAGCGTGTGTTGTAAATTGCATCAATTTGAATCCAGAAACTGTGTGGCGGATAAATATGATTGGATAGATTTTCGAATACATAAACCCTGGTTCTAATATGACACACAGTTATTAATATTTTATTCACAGATCACAGACAGGTCATTCATAGAATACATGACATTAATAATAACACGACTTGGATTGAGATGTGGTATCGGTGCCTTCTGGTGTATAACTTACTTGGTTAAGATGAGGCGCGTCACCTTCTAGAGTATTGGCGCCCCAGTGTATAACTGATTGCGTCAAGTGGGGTGAACAGATATTAACAGCTACGTACAGATTACGGTATGAACCTCATGTATACGTCGGGACAATTTCACGTTCAGGACAAATTGTGGCATTCAAGATTGAAAAAGAAAAGAAGTATTTAAAGTTTGCCAGTCAGTTTTCATCTACCAACCTCAGTTGACAGTTGAATTTTAAATAATGAATTGTCTGTTGGAGACTTGTTTACTGTTTGATAGAAAAGGTGAATGATTTGAACCTATCAACAATAAGTAACCAATCAAATACTGGTTACTTATTAATTGTACGCTAGTCGTAATTTACGTTTAGGCTAATAGCAATTTGTAACTTGTTGTTTACATATGCGATTCAGTTTATCTGAAAGACAAATGAAGAAAAAAGATTTCTCAAATGTGCCCGTTACTATGTTCACTCATCTGCATGTCAATACAGATATCGACCAACGTTTCGGAAGCACTTTTCAATGTCTGTTATTCAAAATCGAATTGTGTCTTATGAATTTGTGAAGTCAACATATCCTTAGCAGAGATTCATGCACAAAATGACCTTGCGATGCAAAAGCGGCGATGACGAGAGAGCAGATCTCCGGGAAGGACAAGCGCCTGGTCTCGCGAGGACTGTACGTCAGAGTTACGAATAACACGACTGAGCTGCAGCACAGCAGCGCCGCCAGCGACACCCAAACTTCCCCGCTGAACTCGCTCGTGTAGTTCGTCCACACTGAACCCTTCTGATTGGCGGCCTTCATCACCATCACATACCTGAGGTGCAATATAGGAGAAATTTCTATTATAATTGGATTGAATTATATGAGCAGTAGTTATACACTAATGAGCAGCTGCCAACTAATTTTTTTCTCATAATTTTTAAAGTGGCACCGCAACAACCACCGATGCTACCTTAGACTCCAGTGTATTACGACCTCTGCCTTGCCAATATAGCAACGCCAAAACCCATTGTAAGAAATTAACCAAATCAGAAACTAGGACTTACCCCGTCATATCGATAGAAATAAGAAAGTCGACCACGGATCCTCTGGCTAGCGTGTTGTCGAGAGTAGCAACGATGATGTCCGCTTGATCGTTGCCCACCATCCCGACCATCCCAGACCACGAGCCATCAGCATTTCGACTTCCAAATTTACCATCGGATGGACGTGACAGGGAACACCTAAAACAATTATTTTAAACATACGTGATTCAAGTTAATCATGTTTAATAAATTTTCATTTAAATGAGATTCTTATTTAATTAACTAGTTTTAAAATTTTCCTGATCCAGTCAATCTTGATTCGTGCTTTTCAATGATCAAGTTGCTATATCAATGGAGCTTAATTCTAATTTTTAAATTTGTCATTTATTTCCCTCAAAGATAGTTTAAATTTATTGATGCTATAGAACAATTGCTTCATAACCAATTTAAGAAGCACTGTTATAATCGTTGGATACTTGACAATATATCGAATTGTTAACGTAGTTCAATTCATAAATCGCAATTTTAATTTATGTTTTGCAAATGTTCCAGAAAAAAATTTTCATTGCAAGGATGAACCCTGGCAAGGTTTTTAGCGCATTTTCTCATTTATAGAAAAAAGGCGCTATTGTGCTCGCCATGTCCGTTCGTCCGTGACTGTCCGTCCGTGACTTCACGTCACGGACGGACGAGAGAATGCGCTCTCTGTCACTCACTGCTGCGAGTATGAATCTAATTTTTTCCCATTGCAGGACTTCACACACTCACGTGAAGTTCATGGTCTGCTCCAGCGTGTGGACCAAGTCGAGGACCCAGCCGTGGATGTACCATCCTTGAGTTGGTCGTTCCTCGACGTTCAGGCTTGGTAACGCCTGTAAGTGAGTACCGCACATTTGTCATCATAGAACGTTGGTAAATCCGCATACCACATGACGGTGTTCTTGCCACCTCATGGGTGATTATAAACCTGATACATATTATAATGAACTGTTAACTTGAATTTATTGTATCATATCCTATATTTTTGTACTCAAAAGTTTTAAGGCAATAAGAACTTTTAGTAGTATTTAAACGAACTTTGGCGTTTGCATCGGAAAAATATTAAAAAACACATGAGGTATAAACACCGACATTATATTTAACTTACAAACTTACAACAATTAGTGTTTAGAATAAATAGTTTAAAGTTAATGAACAGCTAATGAACTACATTAGTCTTTATCTATTTTATGTTGATGAAATGCTAATTAAGTCGAAAGATTCATTATTCTTTTGGTACATTTATTCTAAATCTTAAGTAATTTATTCCAGTTCAATTCATTGCTTTTAAGTCTATATGTTCTTCGTTTCTTCACATTGTCACACAGGTTTGATGCTTGAAATTGTCGACATCGCGATCGGGATGTCTGGAGAGAAGTTGCAGAAACATAACTAGATCTAAGTGAAGTTTTTCCTAATACTTGTCTTTTTATTTTGGCCAATTATAATCTTGTTTCTATTGAAAAATTTTAATTTCTTCTTTGTTCGAAATTTAG